CCACAATAGCATAGCTCTAGTAGAAGGCAGTGCCCGGGGGAGAAACATGTCAACCTTTTGAAGCCAATCCTTTGTCCACTGCAAAATGCTATACACAACATATTATGGGTTGGTCTCTATTAAAGCCTTACTAATACAACATTCACTTCATGGGATGCTACCACAACATATGGGATGGTCACTCTTGTAGAGTGGCCTGTGGCTACCAGAGACATTAACTTCATCAGAATGCTACCACAACCGGGCTGGTCTCTTTTAATTATGTGGCAACACAAGCATGCAAGCTTCACTATATAGGGACGCCAATCATAGTCTTATGGCTGCATGCTCCCTTAACTATATTTTATGTCGTTTGAGTGCAGCGAATTATACGGAAAATAAGCTCCCATTGTGGAATGTGCGCATGCATGAAATGCGCCAAGTAGTCTGGCGCGCGGCTGAGAGCGTATAAAATGCATAGCATTGAGCAGGGGAGTCATCTCTCGGCAATCGCTGTGTTCGGCAAAAACATTTTTTTTATCATTGTGGATGGTGAAGTTATGTTTCTTAATTTGGCACATAGAGCAAAGGTGGCTGAGTAGGGCTCATTGCTGCACAGAGGAGCTACTACGTGGACCTTGGAGTTCAGTTTGCAGGATTCAGAACTGTGGTGATGCTGGGGCCAGTTTGTGATTGCTGGTGACTACAGCAGGTAATGGATTTGGAGGGAGCTACCCATCTCTTCTGGAACCTGAGAGAGCAGTGTGGCTTAATAGCCTAATTTTGTTTTCCTGTACGCTTTTAATATGGTTTTTTCCCCACTCTGTATTTTTCCTCTCAAAAGCAGAGGTTTTTGCGGCTGAGTGGGTTTTTTTTCCCCTTGAGCAATCTTGTAGTAGTGATTGCTCAAAATTTAGGTTTGATTGGTCATTTTTCGGTTGTGCATCATTGTGGTATATGTTGGATGTTGTGTCTTTTTTGCCGGCAGTCTCGCTGGTTGCACAGCCTGATTGTTAGTTGCGCATGGCGCATGCGCTGATGATTTTGCATGCTGGCATGGGGTTAAATGGGAGGGGACATCGTCATGGCAGTATACACGTAACACACATGTTGGCTAACCAGCCTCTGCTTGATCATTCTCTTTGACTGGCACAGAATACTGTGCCATAGACTAGCAGCCACAGTTTCCATGGCTCTGAACACACCCAGATCTTCAAGCTAACTATTATACTAGTTTTTACTTAATTTACTGGTGGCTGCTTTTGTCCTGACAGACCACAGAAGTGGCACGACTGATGGTGAGGCCCTGGAGCTAGTATATTCCAGATGTTGAGGCATACCATCCTAATGTTCCAGGTGGTCCATTAGGGAGGGTTTCGAGGTAAGAAACCATAATCTGCGCAAATCATTATGCTGCAGTAGCATAGGAGGAAGTGCATCACTTCATAATTTATAGAGAAAACTTAATCGTTTGATAATTATGATGCAGAGATTTTGGTGCCTTCTTGTACACATGCTCAAGTTAATTGCCACATTTACGCATGCCCAGTGGGAATGCAACATAATTCATAAATGGTCTCCAGCATACTGCTCATTATTACTATATACTCATTGTGTCACTTGCAAGCTCCACAAAACAATGACTCAGAATGGCCTAGTTGCAAAAAATGCGGGCTTTGAGTCATACATAGCAGGAATTTGCTACACATAAAATGTTCACTTCAATCCCCCACTTCCCCCCACACCTACCTGATGGTCACACATATGCCCAGAGCTCCATAAGTGCATAAGAATTTATATATATATGGCTATAATACTAGGCGCTAATATGTTATACATCAATTTCTGCTTATTTACATGGCGCCATCTCACGAACATGATTGGGACATTCGCAGTGTTGCCGGCACACCTGGAACTCTCTCGAATCATGAGGTTGGAGGCCAAAGGGAAAGGAAGCCATTAAGCTTAAAGGTGTGGTCATACCCCCTATGTGCTGTTGATGAGATGCTACCACAACATATGAGATGGCCTCTTTTGTAGCGGCCCTTGGCTACCAGAAAAGCCATATCAATGATGCTCACCTGATGGAAAAAGCATAATAGTATGGCTTGGGTCATTAATGCTAGCCACCACGACATAATGGATGGTCACTCTTGCGGTAGCCTACTGGCTACCCAGAAGACATCCACTGATGGACTTCATTAGAATGCTAGCTACAACACAACATAAGGGATGGCCTCTTTCAAACAGTTGCATGCTTAACAACTAAGACTTATGTAGGCTATGGCTGCATGCTCCCTTGGTATAACCACGGCAGTATACACCAACACGCACATTGGCAAACTTTAGGGAACCAAGGGAGGCTTTTATGAAAAAACAATCAGGGTGTAGATTGAATTTTAGTGGAACTAACTACAGCATTTCTGGGCAGCTGGCAATGGTTGGTGAGTGGTGGAATTTTGCTGGTGTATATACAGGTTTTTGCTGAGTTTGCAGGCTTTTGTATTCCAATCACAGAGAATTGACCTATTCATCATTCGAGCTACATGATCACGTTTTAAATCATCTTGCAAGTTAGTTGTGTAAATCAAACTAAATTTTTTACAATCACTGCACATATAATTCCAGTATTTCGAAGTTAATATCTTCATCATCAACACTCTCGTCAGCACAAAGTCTTATCTCAATGTCATCACTGATTGGAGGAGAGATGCTTTTCCTGAACCATGGTGGAGAGTTCCAGTCACAGCAGGTGCTGTGCTCACCACATCCAGCCCCATCCCAGAGAGGATCATCTCCATAGAATATGTTTTGGACTTCATTCTCACTGCCAGTGTCACAGAAGTAGTCATCTCCCACAAAGTTAGGTACTGGAGTGTGCTCACTACTACGTGTGTTTGTACAGGCACATGTTTTAAGAGGAAGAGTATCGTCCTCATGAAGGGCTGCAACAAATGTCCAGATGTGTTGTCGAGGAGACAGTCCATGCGTTATGCTGATACCGTCCACATAATAGGACTCAATGGAGTCATGGGCAGAATTCGATCGGTAAAAGGCATTTGGGGCTTTCTGCTGGTATCCAATGATCTTACCACATACTCGTGTGTACTCTATTCCCTGTACTGGAAACACAGTTGAAGAACATCCAGCATGATCAGTATTCTTAGAACACAGTCTGTGAGGACTGGTGAGGGTCCTCAGACCAGATGGACAGGTACTGCTAGTGTCAGTCATGTCGATAGAGGCCACCCTCATCCAGCCTCCAGCTACACCTTTGCAGCTCCTCTCCATGTCACAGTACATGTGTTTGGGTCTGTTGTCAGTTCCACTGATCCAGTAGAGACCTGAGGGAGACTGTGGGGCCAGCTGGAAGATCTCGTTGCAGGAGTAGGCAGGGTGGACTGGGAGTGTAGCCAGGAATTAAAAACAGGAAGAATGTTGTAAGTATAGCATGTCCAGCTCTATTCAACTCTTTCCTGAGTTCACCAGTAGTCATCGGCACTTGATCATTCTCCTGACTGGCACAGACTGCTGTGCAATACACTAGCAGCACTACCAAGACAAACACAAGAGTTTTCATGAGACACCCTGATGCTCAAGAGAAAAACTGTCTAGCTACTAGATTGTACTGGTGGCTGCTTTTGTCCCGACTAACTGCAGAAGTGGCACAACTAATATATGTTGAGCTAGAGAGCTTCCAGGGCACTTACACAGGGCACTTACAGGGCCCTTACAGATAGTGTCACCACAACCATAGTAAATCCATTGGCATACTATCATATGCCTGGTGGTCTGGTTTGCTGTAATTAGAGGTAGAGAGAGTTTTGCAGTAGGAAACCATAATCTGAACATGGCTTCCGTGGCCACGACAATTGCGAACAACAAATCCAAAGTAGCATTAAACATGGATAAGAAGACCATCAGATGAAGACTGAAGAGGTTGCCTTAGCAAACTCTGTTCTACAAAAATCACAAACATTGTATGTAGTGGACGAAAAAAAATTTGGAACGCTTCACGAATTTGCGTGTCATCCTTGCGCAGGGGCCATGCTAATCTTCTCTGTAATCGTTTCCAATTTTAGTATATGTAGGGCCGAAGCCACTACACCCTGCTGAGGAAGAACCAGCTATTTGTGGAGTAGAAAGAATTGCGGCCTAACAGTTGTGGTTTGCGACAGTATATTACCGCCTGTGTACACATGCACATACACTAGGCAAAAATTCCTGTGGTTTGTCGCAATGAATATGATCAGCGTTGGGATCTGAAAGCACAAGAAAAGGACGAAAAGAACTATTAATAGAATGCCAACCATTTTTGGCGATTGCGAACAGTACAATTTTTGCACGCATTTGGAATTACATTACGGTATGTATGTGCAGTGCCCAGTGCCTAGTGTCTGTCACATCATAGAAAAATCCCACATTCAGATGACTAGGTAGGCTCGCTTCGTTCGCCAATTAAAAGTAGGAGGGAGATGGAGATTTATGGGCAGCTGCACACCTCTTGAGGGTGAAGAGCTCCATCATTGAAAGTATAGGAGGATGATAGATGGACATTCAGTTGAATAGTGTTAGCTGCAATGTCGTATATATGCAGCTCTGTTGAATAACAAAATTTAAAGGTGTTGGACAGGACCAGTTAGCTACACAATTGGGTTTGCCTTGCCTCCCAATAAGGAAATAGTTTGTGTCACAAAAGTAGTCGTTTCCCACAAAGGTGGAGAGTTAGGTGTGTCTGTGCAGGGACTATATACACTACACTTTATTCCATCAACACAGATTGCTCCACTGGCCGCCTGTTGTCAGTGTACGCTCAGGGATGGCACAGGCCAAATCTCACGTCAGCCACGTACATAACTTGGTGAGAATGACTTCAAAACACACACTAGCAATAGTCTACCAGCCTATATCCAGCTGTAATGTGCTCCATAACCTCGTATTAAACATGCCTTCAGTTCTCCACGCGAGAATTCACTCATAATAATATGCGATTTCACGATTTTCTTGTCATCATCGTTATCATAATCTTCTTTAAAAATAATAGTTGTTCAACTTGTATACATGACGTGAGATAGAGTGAGTGGTTAGAAATGAGAGAAAGGTCTACTGAGTCCGGGTCTGGTCTGGTTCAGTACAGTTGAGAGGAGGGGCTGGTCTTGCAGCACCTGCTCTACCTCTGATTCCTGCAGCTTCAGAGTCACCTGGACAGACACGAGAGGAATAGGGGATCCCCAGTAATTATGCAGTGGCTAATGTACAACCCCATCACAAGTGAAAGAGCAGGTGGGAACCCAAGCCTAACATGTTACCAGTTAAAACCACACACTTAGAAACACTAAAGTGTCGATCTTATACAAAAGTGGGTGCTACACACAATGATCATGTAGTGTGTGATCTGATGATGTGAAGCTACTCAATGCAAATACAACACAATGTCTACCTTGGTCATTCGAGTCTCCTTTGGCCTTCCTGATTGCGAGTAGTCCCCTGGACTCCAGGACCTGACACAGCCCCACAAACTCGGCCACGCCCTCTGTCTTGAGCTGCCACTGTCGACACACCCGGCCGTAGGCGTCCTCCAGTCTCCCCAGAGTCACCTCTTTCACCGACTTCCCACGCACACAGAGAAGGAGAGTGGCGACGGCCAGTTTCTGTTGGAGCGGGAGGGAGTGGGGGGTGGAGCGGGACAGACTGGCAGCCCCGGTTGTGGAGTAGATGGAAGAGATGACCGACGCAATGTGTGGCAACTTCACTCGGAGAGGGGGAGGAGGGACGGTGCTCGTGGTGGTCTTGTCGTGAGTTGCCTGACGTGAGGTGGGAGTGTGAGGAGGGGTGTGGGGGTGGGGAGGGGAGGTGGGGTGTGTGGGACGGTGACTCTGTGACTCCACCATCTCAATGGCTCTCCTGAAACGATCAGAACACAAAATGCACAATAGTTAGTAGCTCCTTCTACAGTTACACTACTAAAACCCTTAAACACATGAATTTCTCACGAGTTTAACCTGCTGCTATATATGTTCACACGTATTGTAGGAATTGTAATGTCAGTATAATATAAGGGGTCAAATTTACTAAGATGAAACAGGCCATTGCAAATGCAATTAGGTTTAAATATAGTCCTTGTATACTGCTACATGCCCATACACATTACCAACAATACAGTCGCAGCTACATACCTGCAAATGTCCAGTGCCTTCCTCAGGTCTCCATGCACCGACGACACCTTCCTGGCACAGAACTCAATGGCAGCAGGGTCGACAATCACCTCCTCTCGTCCCTCCCTCTCCTCCCTCCCACCCACCCTGGCCTTCAAGATGGTCGCTATCTCCTCCCTAGTGTACGGAGGGAAGTGGAGGAGGCATGGCTTGCAGTGGGTGTGGCTTGTCAGACGAGGCAGGATCCGGTCGGTCAGGTCCAGGGCATTCGCTATACCTGCGATCACGAAAATCAACACAGCGAGATTAGCATTCAAATCAGGGATTGTTTTTAAATAGACCAGTAGTCTCAGACATTATTTTCTCTCCTAAAGCAGTGATGAAGGGTGATTGTAGGGGTGTGGGGTGAACTAACCAATGAGTATGAGTTGTGAGTGAGGGAGTGATGACCACTCGAAGAGAGAGTACAGAACCTCCTGATTACGGCAGTCCAGTTGGTCCATCTCATCCAGGACAATCAGTCTGCAACACATCAGGACAAACACAACATGAGCCTAGACATTAGTACCACATCCGACGTGCATGTGTAGCAGCCGTACTGAGACTCATTACGTAATCTATAATTGTCATTCATGTGTATGCGCGTGTAGCATAGATCAGAATGGAGACTCGAAAGACAGGCGTAACCACGCCCAAAGCTGGTAGTGGCACAACAGCCAGCCGACCGCCTTCTTGAGAAATTTTTCGTGTTTCAAGTTTATGTTCAGGAGGCAGGTCCCTTCCCCACAAAATTTTAAACAGTTCGCAGTTCTTTTAATCTGTACACAAGGCCACACCCTCAGTACACAGAGCTACAGGAGTCGTGGTCACTCACATGGGTTTCTTGGAGGAGGTGAAGTGTCTTGAAAGTCTGTCTCGTGCGAGTTCCTTCCTCTTCCCCCTCCCTCCTCCTCCTCCTCCTGCTCCCCCGTGGAGGTGCAGCTGGGTGGCCAGGTGGGTGAAGAGGGCCTGGGGTGACGTGACACTCATACAGTTGACTGTCAGGAGCACCACCCCCGAGAGAGACGACTGGGGGAAAGGAAGAGGAGAGGAGGGCGCAATGAGTCATGCTGTGTGAGCTATGCTGTATCTAACCAAGAGTGTGTAAACAGCACTATACTATACAGTACATATACATTTCAGGTATGCTATGAACTATAATTTCATGCAGTGCATTGCAAGGAGAAAACCCATTTGTGATATGTACCAAACGCTCATTGCATTGCATAGAGTATAACAGGCTTTGCGCCAAACCTGCACTCAAACAACAATTTTTCGCCCACCATAACGACAAATTCTCTAACAGTTGTTAAGAAACACACACACACAGAAACAGAAATATTAGTATCAGCGCCTACGTGCTTACGTAACCCCTCAGTAGGCCGTACAAACCTTCATGTCTCTGAGTACGTGAGTGATGCAGGCAGTCTTTCCAGTTCCCGGTGCCCCAGATACATAGAGAGCCCCGGCCTCACTCCGGTCCATCCTCTCCCTCACCCACTCCCTCAATTCCTTCAGTTGAGAGTCGCGACACAGCAGGGACGACGGGAGACTGGTGGTGGTGGACAAAGGTCATCGCAACACACAGTCACTTCAATCAGGCAATGCTATTTTTATACACCCCTTTTCACATAAACTAATGGCGATATGTCCTAATCCGCCACAAAACGGTACATGAAGCTTATTGCCAAGCAAGGCAAAAAGAGCTACAATTTGCGCAATTTTTCTTAACAGCACAGTCAACATCACCGTAAAAAGCACCGATGAAATTTTGCACTCAAGTTCACTAGCACAGTATAGTATTATAATGTCACATAAGCCATTGCCGGCACACACACACACACACACACACACACCTGTTGTGAAGTGATCGTTTTGTCTTCTGCAGGGGAGTGAGCGAGGTGACATTGCTAGAGACAGTGGACGAGGAAGGGGAGAACAACAGTCGTTTCCTCACACCTATGTCGGGCAAGAGGGTCAGGGATAGCAGTTATCACTCCACCCCTCCACACCCACACACCCCCTCCACACACCCACCCCCACCCCACACCCACGCAAAGACACACACTGCACACACGCACGGATTGAAATGCATGTACACGTAATAAAACAACGCAGGGCATAGTCTTGAAAGGTATTAACAAGAGAACAACCACACATGAAAGGTATTAACAAGAGAACAACCACGTGGGTCGTATGCATGTCTTACGTTGTTTGTCAGTGGTGTCTGGAGTCTGGAAGTTGCAGCCACCAGCAGCAGTCGGTGTCCCTGGTTTAGAAAGGGGATCACCTGACCTGCGTGCGGTCATCACATGACCCGTGGTACCAATCTGATTGGTTTCCTTCAGTGGTGACTTGGTGGGCGTGGAGAGAGGTGCTGGAGGAGAGGCCAACACTTTCGCCACCAATTCCAGCTTTTCTGTTGAATAAAAGACACAAGAAGTGTTTTTGGGTGTGCTTGTGTTTGACTAGCAGGAAAACCTCGTCGCTGCACCTGCTAGCTACCATATGATTATGTTCAGTTAGCGTGAGTTTTTTCATGGCTGCGCGTAGAACTAGCGCGCATCGTTTGTAGCCCTTACTAAACTGCCTGGCCGGCCATGCGTACGTAGTGTGTGTGTGTCCGTTACCTGTCACTCTCGACCGTTTGGGTGGGGACTCATTCTCGTCGGCGGCTCCTCTGCCCTCGTCCCGGGTCGACGCCCCCTGTCTCCTCTTTACCGCCGATCGACTGCTACGTCGACAAGGGAACTCTAGCTTAGTCTGTCGACCAACGCTTGATACTCCTCCGCTTCTGAGCGAGTATCTCCTTCCTTCCATATTACTTCTCGGTCCACTAGACTTGGTGAAAGCTGGCTCTTTCTTTACAGCTGCAAATTTCGCGCGCTTTTCCCGCCCAAATTAAGTACGCGCATGCGTACTCGGTGGCGGTAAAGGGGCGGGTTAGTAATATTATTATGTCTATGCAACAACATGTATTACTATGGTGTGAATACGGTGATGCTGTACAAAAAGTAAATCTATAATAGGTATCAAAAAAAAGTTGATGGCTAAACACTATAAAATGTTATAAAACTATATACATGCAATGAAGCCTTGACTGGAGTGCCCTCTCTTGCTTTCTGTGCATGTACACATACGAATGGAGGTATGCATGAGATTGAGAGACACACACACATACACACACGGACACACATGCTAGGAGGTGTGTACATGGACACATTTCCAGGCCACACCCCTCTGCTGCCAAACCCTCGTCTCTTTACATTCACTCGTTTGCTGGACGCCATCTCTGGAGTGAAAACAACGTAAAAAGTGAGATAATACTACGTGAATAAGCATTGGCCACACACAGGCCAACATGCAAAGAACACACGCTTATAATTATACAGAAAAAAGAGAAGAGAAAAACGAGAATACTTCTTAAAAAACCAAAGCTACATAATATATATACAGGAGATGTGCACATACTAAAGCAACAAATCCGAAATTACAAGAAATGGAGAAAATACGAAACAAAGTCTGCACTGAAATCAAGACAGGGACAAGTTTGTATAGCGAACAGAGAATTTGGGAATTCACAGCATACAACATACTGTATATACAAGTTACCAAAACTTCGAGGACATACTTGGTGATAGTTTGGTTGAGTCTCACGTAGCAGACACAGGCTGCACTGTCTCCTAGCACGGTGATCTGGGGATTAACCATGGTGATATTCTCGGCCTCACTCGCCGGTACTGCTCATAGGGAGGGAGAGGAGGAGGGAGGGAGGGAGGAGGGGGAAGAGAGGTGGGGCATTTACTCCGACCTTGGCACCTAATGTACTCTAAACCTCTTAGCTACAATTATCCAGGTGCAAAAGACCCTCTAACCTAATTAGCTACTTGGCTAGTGGTTGTGCACACAAATCACACACACCAAGTCCCAAGTGGATACTAACCATCAGGATTGGCATGACTAATATAATTGTGTGTAAGCTGTAAATTGTTTCTGGACAGGATGGTTTTTCCAACCATTTTGATATTCTATTTCACAAGCTCCATTCTTGTCGTGGGTGAGTAAAATTTTGTCTTGTATGTCTAGTCAAGCCCCTCCAAGAATATGGACTGTTTTGCATGTTAACCTACTGTAAGTTTGAAGTGTGAATATAACCCTGACCTCATGCACGTATGTACTGTATGTATGCAATTGTTCTCTACATTAGTGCACTGGAAAATGTAAAAGATAAAGGAAGTGGGTTTGAAAAAGTAACCTTTTGCTCCTCTAACATACACACCCACTACCATTCAGCTAAATGTACACGTAATACAACGTACCATTGTTGAGTGCAAACTGGTGGAAATCGAGTCCAGTAAGCAGCTGCTTCCCGGCATCATTACTGAATGTCAACATGTTCTCGTCACACAGGATTCTGTACGAAGAGAAGAAGATCGTGTCTTACCAACCCTGAATTCACTCACTGGAATTATTGATCATAACATTCTCAAGCCCAGAGTGAAGGGAAGGCCAGTAAACAACGTGAATATAAGCTTCCCAAATAATTATGTGTGCAATGCTAAGAATGTGTACACTGGTGTGGTGGCAGAAAACGTGGTAACAGACAGGCAGATGGACAGACAGACACACTCACGAACAAAGTACTGAAACCCTCGCTGCGCATGCACACCGAGGGTTAAATATTTCTACCCTCTAAATATCCCAGCTACAGAGAACGAAGGATATCAACTTACTTGTAGGCACCAAAGTCTCTGCATCTGATGGCGTCTAGAATGCTACTGGTTGCAGCCATGACCTGCTCAACAGGTGACTTCAGGGAGACTGTGGTGTCCACTCCTCCTGTTGGCTGGCCTGGACCTGAGGGAAGGGGGAATGGAGAGTGGAAGAGAAGTGAAGAGAGGGACGGAAGGAAGGAGGGAGGGAGGAGAGAGGGGGAGAGGAAGGGACGAAAGAGAAAGAGGAGAGGGAGGTGGGAGTAGAGAAATGAAGAGAAGGAGAGAGAAGGGAAGGGAGGAAGGAGGTAAAGAGTGAGGAAGGGAAAGAGAGAGGGGGGAGTGGAAGGATGGAGGGAGGCCGAATGAAGGAATGAGTCACACCATCATACTCTCCAAGTACATAGCATGTAAAAAATGCCAGTAGAGAAGGCGTGTCACCATGGCATGTCTCAACAACTTCGTAACGAGGTAGAAAGGCAAGGCAAGGCAAACAAGTCAACCACACCCAGGACAGCTCTTTCTTTTAAGAATAGCTGCACTGGGTGGGATTCGAGCCAACGACACTCTGCAGTCTAGGCAACTGAGCTACCAGGGCAACTTAGCTGATAGGGGTTCGAATCTACAACACAACACAACACAACACAACACAAGGCAAACCTCAAACCACTGTGCTATGGCACAGTAAACTCTCACTCGGTATGTGTACACATAAATGCCATTTGAGTGTACGCATACATTCATTCTCCTCAGGGATGGTGGTGGGGGCAGTGGACTCCACGGGTGTCGGAATGTCTGTCTCTGAAACTCTATTTCTGAACAGATTGAGTTTGGACCTGGTGGCTATCATTGTAGTCAGTATGGCTCCCTGGACAAACACACAAACATACACATGAATATCCCTGTGTTACAACATTCTGCATGGTAGAAAAGTCAAGTTGTAATGCAAAGTGGACGGCATGAAAATTCGAGCCAAAGAAATGCCTAAAAAGGTGCTCAATAAAACACGCCCCCACGCCATACGAAATGCTAATAATGATGTCGCCTAATACTGTGGAACCTCTTTTAAAGGACACTGTGAATAAAGGACACTTATCTATACATTAAAGGACGTTCAATTCAATGTTAATACTCTCGTGTATTATTTAACCTCTGAATAATGGTCACCTCTTTACAAATTTTCACGGTCCTTTATAAAGAGGATTCACCGTAAAATTGTATACGATATTATGCATGTTGTGATGGCAAAAAAAAGATGTGGAGCTCTGGACAGCTGTTTCGGGCTTGTTGGCCCTCATCAGCAGAGCATACAGCAACTTCTCTCTCTGGCATCACGAGTTTATAAGGCTGCCATGAGCGCAGCATGTACACGTGTTGCACCTTTAACTTTCTTCTGGCGTTGAACTTGCGCAGCCCGGTGATGGTCTCTTGTCTGTGGAATGTCGACGCCACTTTTTGCCTTTGCTGCGAGAAGAAAGCAACCACTACAAGTTTACCACCACAAACCACTAGCCTCCCTGTGTTATGTACATATGTGGTTGTCAGTGGACACATGCAGGGTGCTAGCATGCAGAGTATGAACACAGAAACCCACTCATTAACAACTACGATGTTTCCTTGTGGTTTTCATTAGTACACCGATACTGGCGGCCCAATGCATCAGCCATTATGAATAAGATGAGAAAATTAACACTAACAATTTGAGGTTTGACTTCTCTGTCCAATATTTTCCACAATGCCAGGGGTGACTACCATATCACAATGTTCACTGGGTGAAGATTTTAATTTAAAACCACAAAAAACCTTCGAGAAATTGTAGATAGCGCCGCTAAAATTCGCATCCAAGGGTGCACTAATTAGGGCATCTGTGTCACACTAAGTGGGGGTGCATTAATCAGGGCATTATGTGCCACACTGAGTAGGGGTGCACTAATTAGAGAGACTCACGCTGATCCAGGCATTTTTGAGAGCCTCTTCGGATGTGATTCTGGTTGTAGGGTCAGGGTTCAGGAGCTGACGAATGAGGTCTTTGGCCTCTGCAGTGACCGTGTCCCATTCCGGGGATGGGAACTGCATGGGAATCAGACCGGGGACGGGTCGTGAGGGACAGACTCATTCATTACTACGCACTAGAACACAGTCTTGGGGAGCGAGTGCAAGTGCCCCCCCCTCCCCCCTCCCCCCTCCACCCAAACAAGAAAGTCCGAATATTTGTACTGCCTGGGTGACCAGTATATACCATGATCATTTATCGTTAACAAAGACCCTATATTTGCCTCAACTCAGAAGAAGAGGTGTGTATTACAGTAATATGTATTTACTTCGTATTTGGCGCTCTTGATCTGCGCATAGAGTCTCTTCTGGTCCTCGTCCCAGAATGGAGGATATCCCACCAGGAGGATGTACAGAATGACACCTGGACAAACAACCAACACAGAGTCAACAGTAACTATCGTCAAACTCGTCCTGAAACATACACATAACGAGCAACAACTCCTCTGTAAGAGATCCGCGAGCATGTGCACTCTGACTTCACCCATTTGGGTACATACCTCTGCACATGTACACATTACCCCATTCTAGGCAGTTAGGAAATCATTATGACACCAAAGTGCTATATACTGTGCTGTGCCAAGGCCAGGCACCGTGTGTCCTTGTACCAGTTTGTGTATGGATGTGATGTGTAAGTGTGTTGTTTGGAGGGTGACTTAGGGTCTTCTTTCTCTTAAAGCTACTAGAATGCTATTTTTCCAATTTACCACATGCCCAGAGGTCCACTGCCTTGCCATACGGCTCTCTCTTGAGAACCTCAGGAGAGAGGTAGCCTGGGGTCCCGGCAAACCCATACCACCCTACGTCTGTCTCCTTGTCGATCTCTATGGCCAGACCAAAGTCTGCCAGCTTCACCAGAGGCTCACGCGACTTGTCCGCCAGGAGAAGGTTCTCAGGCTGAGGGGTGTGCAAGGGAGAGAGAAAGGGAGGGAGGGAGGGAGGAAGGGAGGGAGGGAGGAGAGGGAGGATCAGGCTGTAGGCTGATGCGGGCTGACGAGTCGTGAGGGCAGTCTCTCCGTATTCTCTGCTCTCTGTCGTGCCCTTTTTGTCTCTCTGCCCCTTCACCCACGTCACCTGTCTGCTTTAGGCAAATAGGGAGAGAAGAAGAGAAGAAGAGAAGGGAGGGGCAATTCAAGCTAAAATTTTGAAAGGTGTGTTAGGAGAAAAGGATGAAAGAGGGAGAGAAATAGAAGTACATATATACAAGATACATGTGACGAAAAGGATATTAAAGACACACACCTTCAAGTCTCTGTGGACTATTTTATTCCTGTGACAGTAGCTGACACAGTCAAATATCTGCTGCATACATTTGCTGCAGAATGAGAATCAAATTACGCAAGACTTGAAGGGTCGCCAGAGATATTCAGCGTACATAATTGAATCATGACTATTTATCACATGTTCTAAATATAGTAGCTAGCAGTGTTTTGTACAGAGGGGTGCACCCTCCAGAATTACACGTATGTATGAAACTATAGTTCATAGCATACCAGCCATATAGGTAGATAGATAGATAGAGAAAAAACATAATTATGCATTGATGTACAATGGGCCACAACAACAAGAGTGTACTGTACATGTTACTGTACATAAGCATGAACCACACACCCCTCTTCAAGAACTCCTATACCCAATGCTAGAGCGGATTGTTCCCACGGTATACAACCAGGTGGCATGTCAGACTTTAGCCTCGAGTAGTGTGCCGTAAATAGAGTTATGTAACATCGGTTCCTGGCAAACGTGACTTTTCCTGAGGTGTAATATTATTGGTCGTAGATGTACCTAGAAATGCGAAGAGGGGGTTCTGCTATCCAAGTAATTCAGCCTCTAAGGTGTCATTCGAATTTTTTTGGGACCAGATATGGATACGTCACAGATACCTGTGCTGTGCATCCACACGTGAGGTAATAACTACACTGCTACACACACCACATACTACATGAGTTGTCCAGTACAAAAGAGCTAAACAGTCACCACAGCTACACCAAGGGAACACTACAGCCTCTGGCCAATAGAGTGGGACCAGAGCCAGAGCAACTTATGTACACTGAAATTTTATAACCTCTGCCTAAAAATGTATAATACTGCAGCAGAGATAAACCTCACCCACCACATGCTGTTATGTTGACTATAGGGGAACATCCCAGCCAGACTATGCCTGTAGAAGGATCCCTGATTGGAACATTACAACCTCTATGGACACATGACCTACCCAATTAGGAACATATATGGTACACCATATGGAGCTAAAGTCTGTTTGACACACCCTAACTCTTCTGGGAAAAGTCATAAAAAGCATGTACAGACTTTCACACAGCAGAGTAATAAGACCTGCAATCTCCTCTGAATGCCCAGCCCTTGGGTTCTTTACGTGGACCCCAATCAGGCAGAACACCGTATTATTCTGATGATCACGGTCCTTGCATGTATACACAGTGTGTGTGCTATGCATCTGCACTCTAGCTAGTACTACAGCAGAGGGTGTGTTGTAAGCAGGAAATCATGCCACCCTCTCAGAAGAGCGTTTCTGATATGGCCGTCCCGGTTCTTCTGAATTAGGTGCCTCGAGTCATGTCCTCCATAACACACCACACCTCCTGTGGAATCCTCACAACTTTCCAACCCTCTCTGGTTGAAATAATACGTATGTACTGTATGTCTATCTACTTGCTCCACAATGAAGCATGTAAATAGCATGGAATCAGCTATTATCACATTTGACTAGTAGTCAGCTACTTTTAGTCCAGTCCATGCTTGTTCACCCACCCCTATCACAATGGTGAATAAGCTACTAAGAATGAACAAGTTTTACTGCTGTTGTAATCTATCCCAAAATGGTGCACAGGTATGAAACCACTGCCAAAAATGTCCCTGTAATAATCAATTCCTCTTTCCGTCCACGGCTTTTAATAACAAATCACCACAACGTCCAACTGTACAACTCCTCATTATAATACTTGTCACTGACACACACACACACACACACACACACAAAAGGCTTGTGTAGGCTGAATTGAGTGTAACATTTCTGAAACATACAATCCCAACTAAAAAAGGAATACACAACAGTGTATTTGCTTGACGCAGACTTGTTTTCACAAAACAAAAACGTACGTAAAAACAATCCTTAAACAGTCAATCGATCACCAGAATCTCACCTATTGCTAATACACTTACAGTCTCGTAGCTCAGTTTACAGTCGCGTGTACACGTTCACTGGTTTCTGTTACGCTGGTATTCATTCCTCGGTGTGTGGAGCGTACTGTTTGGTACACAGAGACACACACACACACACACACACACAGGCGTATCATTCTGTGTATGTGTCAACCGCAGGGCGAGGTACGTAGAAAGACAAAGGCAAAGCAACCAACGACACACCCATGCCACCTCTTTAAGAGGAGCTACCCCGGGTGGGATTTGAACCCATGACACTCTGTTGTTGACTGCAAGGACTCTACCAACTGAGCTATGTACCAGGGTAACTCAGGGTTCAAACAACGCAAGAGAAAGGCAAAGGCAAAGCAACCAATGACACACCCACACCAACTCCTGCCCTGGGTGGGATTTGAACCCATGACACTCTGTTGTTGACTGCAAGGACTTACCAACTGAGCTATGTACCAGGGTAACTCAGGTTCAAACACGCAAGAGAAAGGCAAAGGCAAAGCAACCAATGACACACCCACACCAACTCCTGCCTGGGTGGGATTTGAACCCATGACACTCTGTGTTGACTGCAAGGACTCTACCAACTGAGCTATGTACCAGGGCAAACTCAGGGTTCACAAACAACGCAAGAGAAAGGCAAACTCAAATAATGTGTTGTGGTACAGTCATGGCACAGTTATACCCTCATATGGCACAGTATACCTCATATGGCGCAGTATACCCTCATATGGCCACAGTATACCTCATATGGCACAGAGATACCCTCATATGGCAAGTATACCCTCATATGGCACAGTATACCCTATTAGTGGCGCAGTATACCTCATATGGCACAGTATACCCTCATATGCACAGTATACCCATGCATATGAGCACAGTATACCCTCATATGGCACAGTATACCCTCATTATGGCACAGTATAACCTCATATGGCACAGTATAACCCCATATGGCGACAGTATAACCCTCATATGGCACAGTATAGAAACAC